TATGTTATTTATTTTAAATCATATGTACATCGCACGGGTTACCACTAGTACTTAGCTAAAATAATGTGACTATTATTTTTAAAAGAGTAAATTACAAATACACCCTTGAGGTTTGATTAAAATACAAATCGCTCTCTGTGATTCTAAAAATTACATTTCATTTCTTGAGGTTTCTAATTTCATAATAAATCACTATTTTTATTAATAAATCATGAAGTCAATTAATAATTTTTAATGATTTTAGAAATATGTTTCAATTAATAATTTAGATAATTTTATTATTGGATAGGAGCACAATTTTGAATTTCAATTTTTTGGTTAATTATGTCAAATAAAAAATTCTGACAAAAAGATATTTATAATTTTTCAAATCACAGAGGACAATGCATACTTTAAACAAACTTAAAAAAGTATACTTGTAATTGACTATTTTAAAACCACGTTGTCTGCAGGGAGAAATTTTCTAGTAGGGGAACCTAACAAAACAAAGGACTAAACTGAAAATAAAAAAATTGCTACACAAATATTATTATTAATTATAGCATAGGGGAGTGATTTTAAAAATTAATTAAAAATTTTAAAGTTTAATTCGCCGTTGACCGATAAATTGACATAAATCGATGCGATTTTAGGAGATTGAAATATATTTTTCACATCTCTAACAACAAAAGGCTAAATCTGAAAATAAAAATATGATCAATAAATTACAAAAATATTATTAGAAAGACAGACATCCACATGTTTAACACAAATATATAATTCTATAACTATACGAAACAATCATACACTTGTAACGTTGAACAACTACACCTTTTATGAGTTTTTTATTTTTATTTTTATTTATTTAGAAAGACGCTTCTCTCTAGTGTATATTGTGTGGGTTAAAGTGTATTGTTAAACTCGTGAGTTTCATCACGGGTTTCGTTTTGATAATCTGAATCGTTAAATGTGTAGAACTTATCAAGTATTTTATGTCCGCAAAAAATCAAGTTGATCGGATATCAGTAGCTCCTTGACTGGAACACATCTTTGTAACAAATTATTTTGAAATCATATTTACCAATGACAAAAATGTATTCCGATCAAGGGGCTATCGATATCCGATTAACGTGATTTTTTATAAACATGAAGTACTCAACAAGCTCTATACATTAGACAGTTCGGATTATCGAAACAGAATTCATGATGAGCCTTACAGATCAATAGTATACTCTAATCTACACAATAAACTGGGTAAAAACTTTTTTTTTTTAATTTGAAATAATAAGACGTATAACACTTTATAGTACAAGTTTTGTCTATAAAATTTTTTATGAGATGTATATGTTCTGTACTATTCCGAAAAATGAAGTACATATGATAGTTGCTACTAATCTATTCTTGGGCACTTATCAGTATGTTTCATTTATAAAGTTTAAAGTTAACCTAATTTCAAAATAAAATACTTGTACTAATTAGTTTTACATATTTTTAATTGTCACCAAAAATTTCTATTTTTTTTAAAAATATTTAAAAATGTTGCTACATTTCACCACTGTCGGACTTCTATCAGATGGTCATTGGAGACTCGTTAGAATGTAAACATTACCGGAAAGTCGCTGGAGTATCACTAGAAGTTTGCCGGAGTATAGTTGGAGTATTATGAATGTCACTGGAAGTCACCGAAATGTCCAGAAGAATATTGTTAGAGACTCACTAGAATGTCTAGAATATTGCCGAAAAATAAAAAAAAATAAATGGAGAAATTAGAGCAAAAAAATAACAAAATGTGCTAAATATTTATAAATTGAAAGGGAAAAAAAAATAAAAATAAATAACAACAAACAATAACAATAGGAAAAAACATATAGTATTATTTTTCAATTTTTGTAGAGTTTAATCAAATAATCTCCAATAGTGATCAAACTAAAAAGCAAGTTTTGAAACTATAAAATGTTACAATTTTAAAGTATGATTCTATTAAGCATTTATCCATATTAATCAAACTGGAAAGAATAAATCTATATGCACTAATTGGTATACTAATTAATGTATAAATGGATGATGTGGTATAATTTTAGAGGTTTTGAATTTTTGTAATTTGTATAATGGATAAGTCCACAAATTTAAAGTGGCAATGTCCAAGCATATGTTAGTTCACTAATTGATATACCAATTGGTGCATATAGCACCATTGAACTGGAAAGATGTTATGAAGTTGCAAAATTTTACAATTCTAAAGAATGTTATGAAACTACAAAATTTTGCGGTTCTAAAGAATATTATGAAACTGCAAAAATTTGTAATTTTAAAACATGATTTATTTTAGCACACAAAAAAAAAAAAAAAAAAACTGAAACTATAAAATTTTATAGTTTTCACCACTTGTAATTAAAATTTGAAAACAATTTGTTCAGAATTTGAAAATTTTCTCTATTAAAACAGGAAAATAGAAATATGTAGCAGAGAAAAGGTAAAAATTAAGAGATCGAAAGAGACAAATAGATATAGAGAAAAGATTGTACTCCGATAACTATTTTTGATTTAAATCTAGTCGGATCTGATATAGATCTACTCAACTTCTTTGCCGTTGGTGAGGATGAAGTAAGGAATCGGTGGTCGTTGGTTGTTGGTTGTTGGTGAAACCCAATCAATGGTGGTTGTTAGTTGCCAGTAACTATAAACAAGAAAGAAAAACAGAAGAAATAAAGCGTCGTCGCCAGTCGCCAAAAATCAAGAAGAGAAAGAGGTAGGGAAAAATGAAAGCACAGAGAAAAAAGAAGAAGAAGAATGTGTGGTGAACTTTTGAAAATATTCAAAAGAATATGGAATTAAATAAATTTTTCTTTCAAATAAGACTTCTGGATAATTTTACCATTTATTTTTCTTAAGTAGCCCAACCCGGACCGTGAAAGGCCAATTTAATCGCAAGCCAGGTAAGTTAACTTTACTACTAGGACTACTTACGACGTAATTCATACCAACAGATTAGATTGCTAATACTAAAATTGTTATATTATTATATAATAAAGTGATATTTTTGATTTAGTGGCTGTGTAATATCATTTTGTCATGTGAGGTTAGAGGTTGAACTCTTATAAAAGGAAATTTGATATTATTTGTGATGTTTATTTATTTATTTGTTTAATCAGTAAAAAATTAATAGGGCAAATTACATATACACCCCTCGAGGTTTGGCTAAATTACAAATACCCCCCTGAGGTTTGAGAAATTACGAATTCCCCCCTGAATGCTATATTTGCATAAGAAATTAGGGGGTAATTTGTTATGAAATATAAACCTCAGGGGGTAAATTGTTATGAAAATACAAACCTCAGGGAGCGGGATGTAATTTCCGAAACCTCAGGGGGGTATCTGTAATTTAACCAAACCTCGAGGGGTGTATATGTAATTTGCCCAAATTAATAATAGATAATTTTAAAAAATTATATCAAATTTAATAATTATAATTCAGCACACAATAAAAACCTGATAACCAATAGTTTCCTATTGATATATTCAAACTGTTTAAATTATCAAATCCGTTGAAAGGATCATGTATATAAAAAAATCAAATTGATCAGATACAAAATCAAAAAGATTCACAAACACAGACTGAGTATGATTCAAATTCTGACACACGACTCAAATCGAATATGAATACGAGTCACATAATTATTTTTATTGTGCACATTTTCTGTGTTCGGAGCCGTGATGTTGCATAAATCATCTAATTTTGCCTGCCTGATGTTTTTTCATAAAACAAGCACATCGACTAGACTATAAACACTATTCTTTGGTCTGTTTTAATTGGGCTACAACTTGGCACTATCAACAATTATATCATTAATTTCGTTGATTAGCGTGTTTAAAAAATATTTCAACCCCTTAATATTATTTTGACATTGTCTTTGTTGAAGTTGGAATGTGTATATTAATTGATGACTATGAGAGAGAGAATGTGTGAAGCAAGTTGTGCATTAATTGAATTAAATTAATATTGTAGGCTTCAAATATGGAGGGTCCTATGAACCAACACGGTGTCGGTTCGGCCATGTTATTTGGTCAACCCATATCTGATTGTATATTTTATACTATTTGTAGGTGTCAAGGAAAAAAGAGAGCCAGGAGCAATTCGGCTAGGTGATAATCACAATCCACTGTAGTAGAAGAATGAAAAACATAAAGAAGACAGAAATAAAAAGAAAGAATAATTGCACAATTAAAATTAGAGTGGCTAAATTGAGATTTTGTTAAATGTACAAGGGGTTAAAGTTGGATTATGGTAATGTAGGGCTAATGAGGTTTAAAAAATGTCATGGGAAGGTCACGTGTTAATTTCCGTCAACCTCATTAAAACCAAATGAATAAAAATGTGACATAGCAATTTGATTTAAAATTTATTGACTGTTACAATTAAAAATGAAAGGAACAAAATGAAATTTTGATGAAAGTATAGTGGTACAAAGTGTAATTAATCACACACAAAATAAAAAATAAAAATCATATTTCTAATTTTTAACAGATTGTGGAATTAAGTTTTAGAATTTGTTAGGTGAAAGAGGCCAGCGATGATGAATTTGATTATGACTTGAATTATAAGAGTAATTGGCATTAGCTCTTTAAAATATATTGCAAGGAATTGGGAATTTGCATATTTTAATAGCCTAGTTACATACAACTAGTGAATTAATCGCGTTAGTCAGTCATGTTAGGTGGTGTTTCTTTTTTTGTGTGAATAAGAGGTGGTGTTCTAGTCTTCACAATCCGCCTGTAATTAAAGCTCTCAACAAATGAAATCATCCATAATTCAACTTCAAACATCTTTATAGCATAAATAATCAGATGTCAACCCTTCGTGTAAGACATAATCAAATCTTCTGAACAACTCAATGACAGCTTTTTTATGACAAATTCAAAGGCTTCAACATAACTATAAATATTGAAGTTTTGTTTACTAGCATTTCATAACATATATAATAGAATTAGAACCAAATTCATATTACTTGTGTCTCTAGTCAATGGCTAATCCAAAGTCTCTTTCAGTTTTGTTTATTCAGTTGACACTTGTTCTTATCCTCTTAGACCTTTCTAATGCACAAAGCTTGAAACTAGGGTTCTACAGCACATCATGCCCCCCTGCCGAGGCCATCACCAAAAAGATAACAACTCAATTTATTTATCAGGCTCCATCTCTTGCAGCTCCATTGTTAAGAATGCATTTTCATGATTGTTTTGTTAGGGTATGAGTGGATGCTTATTTCTTTGTTTATGGTACTTGTCAAGGGTTGCAACCTTGCATGGCTAAAGTTTTTACCTAAATGATGCTTTTCATTATAGTTAATTTTCATGTGAATGGTAAGGGCCCTGGCTATTTTTTAGAATCCATTATAACCAAATAGCTTGCAACAATAGGATAATTTTCACGACTCAAAAGTGGCACGGGATCTTTTGTTCTCAAAATTTTTGTCCCGATGACCCCAATGCCCTCTCAATTTCAATTGCACAACGTGGCAAGAATTTCTGAGTATAATTGTGCAGCTGAGAATGCATTAGAGGCAGGGAGAAGAATTTTGGGAATAGAGAATATATTCCTAGCTCTCAAAAGTTGAATGGCTTAATGGTCAATAAGGGTTATAACAATTTATAACCAGTAATAAGTGCAAATTTAAAGGTAAAAAGTGATAGGATGAGAGAGCAAAGAGGTTGGATTCCAGTGGTTAAGCAAAGAGGACGATCAGTGAATCATAGTCTGAGGTATGGAGGTCAAAGAGTAGGATTGTTTACGCTCTTTGTGGATAACTTGTCTGAGTCAATGAATCCATGAAAACTGCATGATCTGTTCAGTAAGTTTGGTGTTGTCAAGGATGTGTTCATACCATACAAACGAAGGAAATTAACAAATACACGGTTTGGGTTTGTAAGGTATGACTGCTCTACTGTAGTACGAGTGGTAGAACAAAAGGCGAATGGTTTGTGGGTGGATGATACATCTTTGACAGTCAAAATCGCAGAGTATGGTAATGGAGTGGAAGAAAGGAAGAGGCTTAAACTGATACCAACAAGACAAACAGAGGCGAATAAGCCATCCATCATGGAGCCAAACAAATATGGTATCAAGGCACTGATGAAAGGTTATTTGCAGAGGTCATCAAAGGGACAGAACCAAGATGCACACCAAAGACAACTATCAGGGTAGAAGAGTTAGGTAATGGGTGGCTATATGAGAGCATGCTCATGTGACTCAAAACAAACTACTCTGTTATGGAGGTGAAAAAGGAACTCAAAAGAAGAGGTTTGCTAAATGCGATGGTGCGAGAAGGAGGTGGGCGAGACGCAATCATATCATTTAACTCCAAGGACAATTTTTTGAGTCACAAGTCTTCACTCACATAATGGTTTCATGAATGGTGTGAGTACATCGCTGAGTGGAGATCAGGTTTGTATCTTCAACAGGAGAGGTATGTTTGGATTTGTTGCTATGGGGTGCCTCTTAATCTATGGATATCAAATACCTTCAGAAAGATTGACAGGTTATTGGGGGACATGATCATCTTAGATGGTGATGTCTACACACCTAAATCTTTTTGATGTGGAAGGTTCAAAATAGTCACAAGTGTTATAGATCCGATAAGTACAAGCCTGAATCTAGAGTGCAAAGGAAGAGTCTATTCCATAAGAGTTTTCGAGGAACAGAGCTCAGAGGATGTCACCACCAGCTGCAATGGAACTACTACCAACGGGGCCGAAGAAAATGGATGTTCCAAAGTAAATAGGTTACTTCAACCTATTGAAGAAACCAATTTGGAGGAAGAAGATGATGACAAAGCAAATGAAGTGGTGGCAAATGGGGACACGTCATCTAGGTTGAAATGAAGAGATGAGCTAGCGGCTGGTGGCAGTTCGAGCCATGCTTCAGAAGTAAAGGAGACTCAAGATTGCGTAGGAAATTCAACTACAGCAAGCACATGCGTGGTGGAGTCATCATTGCCAGTGGTCAGTCTGCAACTGCGGCAGGGGTGTAATCATGACAATCCAAAAGGTGTAGAAGCTCCTCTAGTGGAAAACAATCACGATGCACAAGTAGGTGTGGTTACTCCTACTATGGATGGTCAAACACTCACTGCAGGCTTTATCAGGAGCCTAAGTGAGACACTAAAGGTTGGACCCGGCATTAATCTAGAGGTATCTCTTGGACTTGAACAATCTAGGCTGCAGCCTATTGACAATATCTTTTCTGGTCTGCAGCCCATTGGGCCAACTGGTGATGGTCTGCAGCCCATTGGGCCTATTGGTGTTGGCCTCAGTCAAGCATCTGCATCAGAGGTTAGTGTATCTGCGAGCCCAGCACTTTCAAGCTCTATTAGTAACCATATAAGAAAAGGTAAAAGGAAATGTCTAAAAAATGAGGGCCTTAAAAATCCTTTGTTCATGGGTAGGTTTACTAGCTTTGTAAGAAGATTTGGACATAAAGGAGCAGGAACAAGGAAGGGTATTCTTAAAGGCTCACAGTCAAGAGCCACTGTTGCTCTTAAATCCAACCACTATACAAATATAAAGCAACCTCCTTCTAGAAATGACCTATTTCAAGAGGCTCAGGCAACTTTACGATTGGGGAAAAGATTGGGCATTGACTATAAAGGGCAGGAATCTGAGATTATCTGTAAAATAACACACATAGAGAAGAAGGACAAACAGAGGTTGGATAAAGGGGGTAATACAGTGGAGTAACCAGATCCATATGGGTGAATACAGTGACTACATGTTTTTATAAAGACAATTAGCTGGAATATCAGAGGGTCAAGCAAGCCTGAAAAGAAGAGAAAAATTAAGAAACTGTTACTAGAAAAGAAAATTGATATGGCTTTGTTTCAAGAAACAAAAAGATCAAGCATCACTAGTGAAATGGTCAAAAGTGTTTGGCCTAGGGATCGGATGAAGTTCATTTCTATGGATGCAAATGGATTGGCAGGAGGTCTTGTATGTATCTAGAATCCTAATGTCTTTCAGCTATCAGATTATTGCAGTAATAAAAATTTTATTCTACTATCAGGTAAAATTCACAACTCCTTCAATTGCATAATTGTGAATATTTATGCTCCCAATGACGTTATAAGTAGAGGGAAATTATGGGAGACCTTGCTAAATCTGAAAAACTCTTTCATGGTGTGTTGCCCATTCAACCAATAGAAACTGACAAATGAAGTACCTATGGTAGAAACTAAGAGTAGGTACATCAAGCAGGGATAGGGGCATGAAAGAGTTCTATAGCGATTCCGGCTTTGACCCGTCACATGTCGTATTCCGGACTCGTGTTCATATGGTTTTGAATGGTTATTCATATCTTGTTTCCTTTGTCTCCCCTCTATTTTGATTATTGGGTTGTAATTGTGCGTTTGGAACATGTTGCTTACTTGTTTTCCAAACTTGTGATGCCTAGATTTTGGCTGTTCCGCTCGAGTGGGCATTCTTGCGCTCGAGTGGGCTTCACAAATTTTGCTCCTTCTCTTGAGCGGCCATTCTTGCGCTCAAGCGGGATTTGTCAACTCTCAGTATCTTTGTAGATCTGCAAATACTAGGAGAGTGCATTGGATACTTGAGCGTCCAGTCTCACGCTCGAGCAAGGTCCTTTGTCTGCAAAACTTCTGGATATGCGTATCCCATGCTCGAGCAAAGCTTTATGTCTGACGCTCGAGCGTCACTTTACACGCTCGAGCGGACTACGTGTATAACAGTCCGTGAAGATGATATTTTAAATCACTTTTCCATTCCCCTCTCTCTCTAAAAACTTCCCAAAAACCTAGATATTGAGTTTCTCTCTCTAAACCTCACATTCTCTCTACTATTCTATCTAGATCCATTGGGATTTCCACCATAGTGCCTTTGAGAAGAAGGTAGAGTGTCTTAAGATCTTCCTTTTGATCCAAATAGAAGTGGGTTCCAGTGTCCTTGGAGTTTCACTCTTGCTTGGCTCGTCTTCTCTCTTTGAGGTAGGGATTTTCTACACTTTGTTATGATTTTTAACTTAGTTATTTGTGGTTGTGTAACAATGGTGGGATTTGGGAGCATTTTGAACAAACCTTGGGTGTGAGTGTAAATGGAAAAGAGGGGTCTTTGGTGGAAATGAAATAAAAGAACATGGGGTTTGAAAATGAAGTCATGTTATGTCAAAATGGTTGATTTTGGTACTTGGATTGATATTTGAAAAGGGAAATTTTTGCCCTAAAATGATTATCATATTCATTTGGCTTAAATAATTGAGATTAGTGTTGTAAACATGGAATTAAGCGAGTGTTGAAATATATGGTGGAATTGAGTATGTAATACTTCATACCTTTGGAAATTTTGAATAAATTATCTGTCTCGAGATTATATATATGTTTAGAAATATCTGTATTGGGCTATCGGTGGAGGATAGCTTTGATTGTTGTAGAAATTGCATGTGGATTAGGTGAATTGAAACTAATCTTTTGTTGGTTGTCACTGAATATGACTATGTTTATATACATTATTGTGAGACCATGAAATATCCTCTCACATGGATGTTATGGAGAGAAGAACGTCACCCCTGTAGATCTGCAATGATGAACATAGTTGGTGCCACCCAACCGGGGTTGTCGGCCGGGGACTATTCGATGATGAAGTCAGTCATTGAATTAAGGAAGAAATAGTATATACATTTGAAGGGGTGTGTGTTTTGTAGAGAGAGATGAGAACATACCTTCCACTTGGGATGGCTCCTCCTTTAAATAGATGGGGGGTGTAATATTTGTTTGGGTTGGACCCATTGTAGGCTTTGTTTGGGTTAGGCCCAATAAGCTAGTACCTATAATTTTCTAGCTCCCACAATTGCCCCAAAACTTTCATTGTCTGCGGTAGAAGGAATGAGAGTTTTTTTTCTTGCCAGGTTACGCTGTTCAAATAGCCGTTAGGTTTTTTGATAAAGAATACTTTGGATAAATGAATAAAATGTATGAATAAATGACTGCGTGTATGCTTGAATGTATGTATAAATGTATGTATGTCTTGAATATATGTATAAATGTATATATGTCGATCATAGGATGAGGGAGGTGAGTTAAAACCCAGTGAGTAACACTATCTCTATAACGATGGGAAACGGTATTATAACTCCCGGGTAAGGGTATAGGCCGCAGTATTATAACCCCGAGCAAGGGTGTAGTATATTGTCGAATGCAAAGATTGCTTCCAAATATGGACTTTCGTGCCGAGCTAGAAATAT